CTTTCGTGCTACTTAAACAAAATATGAGCGTAAGCCTACTCGTACCTATAGTAGTCTACATGTACATAACATGTCAGATTTGACACACACACCTCGACTAATTTTTTATTTTTTCAAGGAAAATAGTTAGCATTCGTGTTTTTCAAGCACTAGATGAAAAGAAAACACATACCTTTCAGTCAATTCACATTTGCATCCAGATGTTATGGCACCACATTCAAGTAAATTGCGTTTGAGTTGGTTCACTGTCAGCGACGCGTGCACACGCTCCATGTTAAACTCTGGTGTAAAGCATTGAGCGAGATTCTGCGAGACTTTAGAAGGACTGCTTTCACCCCCACGCCATCTAGCAGCATACCCTTAAAGCGGGTATTCCCCATTACGCGCACTTTTCTCTGAAGCCACAGTGCAGAAAAGTACCATCATTTATCTAGTCTAAGAGATATATCTGTGAACACCTAGTGGGAAATTCAAATTAAAATCTGTTGCCCTGGTAGAGGGTAGACCCTGCTTACACTGAGTGGTACATTCAGCTGGACCAGTCCACTTTAAGAGATCCTAAAATGTGGTTACACCACAGGGGGTTTAAGACTGCATTCTCATAAACCCATCATACTAGCTAGGTCGTTCTAACTTTGACAGGCTTTTCACTAAAGTGTTTTCAGTGTATAATCAGTTTAATTGACTGAGTGACTAGGGGGTAATGGACTATAGTTAATTACCCTCTAGCAGCTTGGGTAGGTGTGCCAGTCATTTAAGCTGCTTACACTGAATGCAATTTAGTGAGAATCTTTGCAGATTTAGATCAATCCAGCTAGTATGATAGGTTTATGGGAAAGTTCCCTAGCTCCCTTTCACAAGTTTTCCACAAGTTCACTTCCTGCTGTTTAGTTACATTAATCAATAGGCTGTGCTGAGCATGATGACTGGGACTCTGTTTAGGTGACTTTCTCAGTAATTGCCAAACTGTAAAGTTATCAATCTCTCAAAGTGGACCAATACAGTGAAATGCACACCTTGATGTCAAACGGGCCCTATATTTTACCATGTTTCCTTTTGGTCCATGGAGGGTTCTCTACTAGCTGCACTAACAAGATGGGGACATCGTGTGTATTCAGCAACCTCTGCATCACACTTAGAGGTAGGCTACAGCATATAGATACAAGTAACTATTTTAATCTTTTATTTCATTTAATTACAGTATACTGCAACCTATGCAATGACTATACATAATATAATACATGCTTGAAAAAGACTTCAGTTGAAAACAGAAGAAAGAGCCCCCCCCCCCCCACTTCCCCACCACATCATGGTTCAAGATATCAATCAACTCTGCAAGCACTGAAGCAAATGCAACACACCATGAAAATAATTCTTTTAAATCTAGAAAAAAGGGGTAATCGTTGTCAACCCCTAGAAGTTGATTTTCTTTTTCTTCTATATTACCAACAAAAATGCTGTTTTTAGAAAAGAAAATTTATCAATTGACTTTTTATTTAGTTGTTGTCTTATGAAAGACAAGTGGACCTACCTGGAGAGATTGTCTATGATATATCTAAGCACAGACACGGACTTTATACAGATATCAAAGTCCAGTGTTTTGTTCTGTTTCTGAAGTTCCCCAATGGTTGCTGAGGAAGAGGGTGAGCTGTTAGCAGCTGATAGTGCATCTACTTCTTCGTCATCATCATCATCTTCATCTGACTCTTCTGATCTGAATGAAAATACTAAATACCTCAACAAGCAATCAAAACAAACAAACCAAACTGAAAAATTAAACCAACCAACAAAATAAAATAATATCATATGAAGTTTTTAAAATTGTTTAATCTGGTTACAGGGTTCTATGATTAATGTAAATGTATGCAAAGTAAATCAATTATAAAAGTCAATGTAGTACATATACTACACGTAAATGCAAAAATAAACTAGCTACTAACTTAGCAATGAGTGCGGTGAGTTTTCTATAACAGTAGTCTAATAAATCTAAGATGCTTTCTTCTGCCGATTCGCATGCATCTTTGTGGTACATAATTGTCTCCAGTAAATTGATGATGGTTGCTTCGTGGTAAAGCTGAAAAAAAAAAAAGATTCTAAGTCAGAATGACAAAAATATATGTGTAAATTGATGATTTTATTAATTTAACAGCTTTTTACTAGGATAAACATAGATGAGGCTATCAATTTTATCACATATGCTATTTTATAAAATACTGTACAATCTTAATGAGTTATCATTCCCAATGTGAAACTTGGGTTTAATTTGAAATTGTAGGTGACAAAAACTGAATGAAAGGAACTGATTTGGTGTTTTAAGCTTTATTTATTTATTATTATTATTATTTTTTAAAAAAATATTATTATTATTATTATCATTTTTTTTTTTTGAGGGGTGAGGACATGTTGTACTTACAACCATGTATATAGGAAAGGAAATTTTAGGGTCAAAGTTCATCTCTATCAACTCTGGAAAAACTTTCTGCTTCCATATCTCTGTTGCAATGACTTCATGGATTAAAACAGGGATCTGAAAAAAAGAGAAACCTTATAAATATTGTAAACATAACTGATATTCAATGAACATAGTATATGTTAAACATAACTGAAAGTTCACTGATTGTGGAACAGTAAGCTTAGCAATGGCATATAGTTTATCCCCACCCTGAAAAACCAAATAAAAAAACAACAACAAGTGCAATAAAAAATATATAATGATAATAATAAAAAATATTATAATTATAAAACAACTAGCATGATCATGAAGTTTTGTTGATTAAAATATACAATAATTAGTTGACAAAAAACATTTTGTATAGTAACTATCTCCAATCAAAAGAAGCAGCTTTTCTTTTTCATGCATTGCATCCATTGAAAAATCATGCTAAAAACTCTTTTACCTTTCCAGCAGTGATGAAAAATTCTTTGACAAATTCATCTTCCTGTGCTGATGCATTCATTACAGCTTGCATATTGAGTTTCTCTATGTATTCATGGTGCATGCTCCATCTGGGGGATAAATATATGAAAACAAATTGGACCTTTTATATTAAAATAGGAGGATGCAAGTTTGGCAATGACTTAAAGGGAAGCTCCATACCTTGATATCACTTTAAATGTAATTACATTGGTCAGACTAAAAAAAACAACAGTGCAATTCACTTGAAAAAAAAATGAGTCCACTAAAATGAAGGCTAAGTGGAAAATATATGGGCCATGGGGAAAATAACTTTAAAACTGATCATGTTTTTACCCTCAATAAATAAGTTCAAATAATAAATAACACAGTGCAATGACCAATCGCAAGAAAATGGAAGAATGTAAAATGAAATACATTACTAGGCACTAGTAAGTAATATTGTTGAACCTTATTGGCAATATGGCCCATGCCCTGACATATTGTTAACAAATTTGTTTATTTGGACCAACAATATTAATTACCTAGTAACATTTATATTTTGCTTTTATATTACTGTAGTACCCTATTTTCTTTTCCTGTGTTTACTTGCATGCTGAGTTGTTTACTTTTTCTTTCTATTGTATTGCCCTGTGTTGCTTTGTATTGCGCATTTTGGTATTAGTACACATATATTTATGATACTGACATCACATACAGTACCATGTAATAGGGGGAATAATAAATTTGCTGACCAAAAAATGAAAAGAACAAGTTTGAGAAAGTCTCAGAGTCAGACATGCTGAAACTGTCGTTCCACTCAGTTATGACCGGGAAAATTTGTCTGGTACTATCTGTCTCAAACGAATAGAGTGATTTTCGGTCCGACAAAAATCCATTCGGTGTGGCAAAGTTTTCATTACTGCCGGTGTGGCGTGATAGACCCGTGCCATGACGAAACCGTTCTGCACATGCGCATTGAGGGTAGATTGAAAGAAGTAACTTCCGGTATGACGATGTCGTCCTAAGTAGGCGCTATATTTGCACTGAACTATGATTTTCCAATTCATAATTCAGTGGTCTTCGTCATGAGAGAGTATGTATTTGATAATCTTATTACTACAGTATAAGGGGGAATTTTGGAAGTGAGCTTTTGATTGTGACTGAACTGTTTTGCTCTGTGTGAAAAACGTGACAGATCTAAGACTTGTAGCATGAATCTTTTCACTCTACAATGTTCTTTCAATTCAGAGTTCAGTCATTTTCATTAAAAAGAAATTGTGTGTTTGATAATACTACAACTTTCTCTACGGGGAAATGATGGATATGCATGTGCAGCTACGTACTGTAAGTCAACAGACTGCTACCCCCGCGTGAATAATCCGTCAGAACGGTTTAATCACGACGACGGTTTCTTCACGTGACACCGGTCCAAATGTCCTGGCATTCTGAAAAGTTTTCAGCATGTCTGAATTCTAACATTTCTACGTGGAAAATGAGGGTAGGATCTGAATATTTTATAATATTTATCCTACTTAGTTTAAAACTATAACATCCACATTAAAGATGCGTAAGTAAATGAGAGAGAGAGAGAGAGAGAGAGAGAGAGAGAGAGAGACAGAGACACCTACTTCTGACTACCGATATCTTTCACATCAAATGGTTCCAATGCATCTATATACGCCTCTGCCTCAACAGACATTAAAACTTGACCTTCTCCCGTCGCCATCTCCAATATTTTTTAAAATTTCTGAAGAATTCTAACATGCAATTTTGTTGCTACAACTGTTTGTAATTATTATTCTTATTCCTAGACGGCAGTAAAATCCAAGGAAAGACAAAAGTAAAATAACAATTTGTTTTATGCCATATGTGATTGATGATACTAGATTGTAGTTAAAAACTTAATGATTGCCACTATAAATCATGCAAAATATATTAAAACAGCAAATCAATTTTTGTCGCTTCAGTTTTTTTACAATGGGTCCTGTCTTACTTCTGCATCTCGAAAGATGGCGCTTCACTGGCGCACGCGGATTCGGTGGACGCATGCAAGTCTCTTTTGTGCTTTCACCTGTTAATCGATAAGTTCATCATTTTAAAAACATGTAAAGGTGAGTCGGGTTGTTAGTGTCATGAAGTATATGAAAATAATACAAAATGATAACCGGACCAGACGAGACTGCTGTCGCATGCTACCCTCATACCAGATGATCATATACAGTAAACTCCCCTAGCCTCAGTAGGTTGTGTATGTCTTCACTATTCACTAAAGACGCTTCATTCAGTGCCAACTGAGGCTAAGGGAGTTTATATACTAGTTTATGTTTTAGGTAATTTACATCTTTTGCTGCACTATTTCCCTATGTTTTAGGGAGGATGGTCTCCTTGCTGGAATTGTGAGCTCTCTTTTCAAAATCTAGTTAAGCGCACCCCTGCAAACTTGTTAATTCAAAACCTTTGAAATTTGATTAATGTATAGTATAGATATAGAGGATACAACAGTCACACCAGCAAATAAAATAATTTACAAAATAATCTAACCAGAATGCTTAGACTTCAAGTGGCTAAGCAAAATAAGATTGATTTGACATGCTTTCATAATATTTTAACCATTCAGACAGAAAAAAAAGTGATGAACAGAACAAGAAGTGATTTGCCTAAGCAGTAAAAAGCTTAAAACATTTCTCTTAAATTAGACGGGAATTCGAACAAATAAAACAACGATATTTAAAGAACTCTAGGACCCCCCCCCCCCCCCCCCCCCAATACTCCTATCGATGTATTGGGTTAAAATAGTCCCAGTATTGGGTTAAAATAGCCCCACAATGAACGCTTAATGTTTTAATTTTCCTGTCCTACATGGCCATTAACAAATGTTAACAGGACAGATAATATTAAACTGAGTACACATAGTATAGTATCGGGTACCTGCCATGCTGTTGACACAGAAGATAATAAATACTGCGACTATCGCGTGTTTCCTTGCCTCCGGCTCTCTGCTATCTGTGGTGACATATATCAGTGCGTGGCCAGGAGAAATGTGTGGGAATGGATCAAAAATTAAATAAGAAAGCACGCTCTGTAGAAACTGTCTCAAGTGATGGGACCCCCTCCCCTCCCCCCTCTCTCTCTCTCTCTCACTCTCTCTCTCTCTCTCTCTCTCTCTCTCAAACAGTGCTTTCAAAAAAGTCAAATAATACACAAAGGTAAATAAATGACATAAGAGAGGTTTCTGCAAGGCATTAATGATGAACTGCATAAAATATCCCAGACACTGGCGTGACAGACCACATGAACGCGATGGGCGTCTCTTTATAAATCATTCGGTAAAATGACTTGAAAATAGTGCGATATATTTCTGCGTTCAAATGTCAAAAGTGTTCACCGTGTCTAGAAAACGTGTCTCTGCCAGATTTTCCAAACATTACATTGGGTCTTAAACGAGTCGAATTAAATTTCGCCTTCAGCTTTCTGTATCAAGCTGTTAAAACCCGGTGGGCTATTTACATTAAACAACGCCTTTAAGAGGTTCTTTCTTTTGCGGTCTTTAAGCAAACATTTTTTACACACCTGTTACAAAGCACAGGTAATAAACTTGAAGCGTCACCAGTACCCCGCCTGGAATTTCATAAACAGCGCAGATAGGAGAGTAGACTTTGTGAACAATTGAACTTAATTACATACAATTAACTTCACACTCTGGGCCCCACCGGTAATTTCTCACTTGAAAATATAGGACTAGACTTTGTGATGTAACATTCTGGTCAGTTTATATTGTTTGGGGGGACCCCAAGCGTTACGTGTCAACACGCATACTGTTACTTCTGTATTAAAAAGTCCTCGAGTTGGAGGACTGTGCCATTACAATCAGTCAGAATTTCTAACCGCTTGAGCGGGCCCAGACTGTCACAGACAAAAGGGGATAGACTCATGTTTGTCTCCCAACAGCACGTTCAAATGGACAAGCAAAATGGGAAAGGGTTTCGTTTATCGGTTGTTCAATATGAGTGGCGTCGCCAAGCCAAAAGTTGGCAGTCGCTCCATTTTGATAAGGAGTCGAGTAGTTAAGACACTTGCAAATACAACATGAAGTTAAGTTGAATTTGGTTGAACTCTCACGGACAGTTTTTTGGTCCAGTGTTTTTGTCATATTCAGGTTAAAATAAAAATACTGAGCCATCCCACTAGAAGTTATACAGGCGAAAAAGAAATTTATGAGCTGCAATAAGCCAAAATCAAGTGGACAATGATAACGCAAGTTTGATAAATAAACAGGGTTAGTTATGAATAGAGTTGGTTTGTAGTCATAGGCCTCAGTGATAACTGAATGCTGTTTAATGGGGGTGTGCAGACATTAATGTTGTCTTTACTAATTAACTTTCACTGTATCCACGAATTGTGAATGGACTGCGTTTTTAATATCCACAAACGGGAGTTGCAAATAAGACTTGGTCATTTAGATATATATCTCATATATTAAGCAAGTCTGCAATGGTAGTCTATTTAAATATATTGCTACATCGGTTTATAATATATTTTCAGCATTACAATGGCATATGCAGCATAACTTCGGTCTAAATAAATATTAACTTTTACACAAAAAAATTAAAGTTTTCTTTGATCCAAGCTCAAGCAGTGGTAGTCCAGTTAAAATAGTGTGCTTGTTTTATAACAAGAAAGCCGTTAATATTTCTGGCCTATGGTTACATCACATAAAACAACTAAGGCTTTGTTATGAAGTGAAGTAGACTTAATTTTGTCTTAGATATTAGATCAATTTTCGAGCTGAGATTTCTTTTGTGAAACAAGACCTTGAACTCTCTTTAGCATGCTACGTGGACTGTTAACCAACGTGTACCGTACAACGAGAGGCCCGACTAGTTTATTAAAAACAAACACAAGGGTCTCAGCACTTACAATAGAAACTTTACTAGGTTCATTCTCTGTCGTGGTTACTAAAATGCAAGCTGAATACTTAAACGATGTCTCGAGCACTTCTTCCTGTGATTTAAATCCATGATATTTTGACGGTGAAATACACAAAAACTTACTACATCAGTCATCTTTTCCTTTCGAGGTCCATCATCAGAAATAAAGCCACATTATCACGAGGACTTACTCGCTATCGTAACAGACTAGAACTAGTTTATATTGGTTGTGACTATATTAAATCTAGAATATAAAACTCATGTGTTGTGAAAGTTACGACGCCCAGGTGGCACATTGAACTTATCTAACCCCATACTCTTTCAAACCAACCTGTTGATTTCATTACTCCGGCACATGGGATGGAAATGAGGTCACGAAAATTGCGTACATTTCACTTGTAGATTTCAACGTTCAAGTGGACCTATCTCAGTAACACTTCACTACAGAACGTCCTTAGCTGCGTCCAAAAAATACCCAGAGATCAGTCAACTTACCTACAGACAGGAAGCCGAGGAATGAGAGGGCAAATACGAGAGATTTCATGATGATTATCAAGGTGATGCTGGCAGTCGCAGTCGCAGCACTAGCGTCTCTCTCCAGTCAGTTGTTCTCGTTAAGAGTCGCAGTGGGTCAACTTGCAAATTTGAATGACGTCATCCAGGGGTCATGCTGCACCCGTCCCGGTTCCGCTAAGAAGCGCCGCGTCACCGGTGGATGTGACACTTATCCCGTGCAAGTTATATGAGAGAATTTCAGTTTGTAGAAATGTTGTCGGGTTGTGTTGGGATGTGGCTAGTGTTGGATCTTTCCAGCATGAAGTATTTTGTCTAACATGGGAGAATTTGCGGTTTACGATACAGTGCTTCCATTAACAGTTTGAAAGCCACACAATGATGAGTGTTACACCTTTAAAGATTTCAATATTCCTGGATATTTTCCCTTTTTCTCCGTATACCAAATCCAAAACCGTTATCAGTATTACTATCCATAAAGAAGTTTCTGAGTTTCTAATTTTTGAGGCACTATCATAATAGAGATAGCCACTGAATTTCTCTGGTGACGTTGGAAATGAGAAAATTTCGAGTCAAAAACAAGGGTTGGATGGAAAAACCTTGGTACTGAAATTTCTAGAAATTCCATAATTTTTTCGCAATGTTAACGGCCAACGCGCATTGTAGGCCTATGCCATTTGATATCAGGAAACCATGGCTTCAAACCCAATCTTTACATTTACTTTGACAAGAAACGACTGAAAAAATGAAAACATGGTTTGACTGATCAACCCCCAGAGACTATTTATAATTTTTCAACTTCTATAGCAATGTGGTTTTTATAAATTAACTTTTCATCGAATTATAGTTCTGTAGGCTAAATTTAGGCGCTGTGGTTATTAAACCTTTATACATATACACCATGTATCAGGGCCCTCCATTGATATAGAGCTAAGATCTAATAAACGGATATATTAGATCTTAGTATAGAGTACTAGTATATACACGAGAAGCGAGGGAGATGATACTGAGTTTTAAAGGAATAAAAAAAGAAATTGTTAAATAGATAAACGAAATGAAATGAATTGATTAAAGAATACAAACGCTAATTTTTTTAAATGTCATATCCTATAGACAACTTTTTGTCAAGTGAAAGCTCCACTTCCGGTGATGTGATAAGCTTGGTTTCTTCAATTCATTGTGTTAGTTGTGTCAAAAATTTGGAATGTGTTCTCCTCCATCGTGGAACTCGGAATGAAGGTTCGTGCTTCATTTCGTCAAGGAGTTATAACTCCTTGATTTCGTTCAAAGAATGTCATTTTTTCTTCAGTCAGCAGCTAATATTGAGATGTTGACT